TCCGGCCCTGGACAATCCGCAACATGGGTCCAAGCGCCCGCTCCAAACTGGCCATATGTACGGCTACTTCCGGCCCGTAATTCAAGACTTTACGAGCCATTTAGGCTCCAGACCCTAGGCTTTAGGGTAATAAAGTTTACTAGCAACTATTATACGCTGGAAGCGCAATGCACCTTCCGAAGGGAACGAATGCGGTACGGAGCACGAAGCTAACTCTTCGCGCTCAGCTGCAGGCAGGAAGCATCCGTTCTTGAAACGGATGCCGTCGCTAAGCGCGCGTGCGCTGGCGATGCCATAGGCTCCTAGACGTCGCGACAGGCATCACCAGCTTTAGTTTAGGGTTTAGGGTTTTGGGTTTTGGGTTTAGGGTTTCCTAAAAATGTTCCGTTTCTAGAGGCCCCTGTAAGGCCTTTTCAAGGGCACCTCGGGTACCTGTAAGCAGTTCCTTTTAAAAGGCTCCCTTAAATTTTAAAGAGTTTAGGGTTTAAGGTTTAGGGTAAGGCTACCTAGGGGTTCCTTCTAAAGGGCTCCTTTAAGACGAAGAGCTCCTGCGGCAGCTCGCCTTTGTCAGCGCTCCTGCCGCGCAGCAACAACGAAGGCGGAGGAGGGAGCAGTGGAGGTGGTGGTTTAGGGTATAGGCATTAGGGTTTAGGGTAGAGGTAGTGGTGATGTAGGGGCCTGAATAATTAGAATAGGGTTTTAGGGTATATTATATCATACCTATAATAGGTAACTCTCAAAACTAGTGGTAACGGTAGTGGCAGCGGTAGTGGTCGTGGTCGTGGTAATCAACAACTCAAGCTTGCATACGCCCCGAACCTCAAAAGACCCTCAAGCTTAATGAGATCCCGTGATGAATAAAACGCACTACCTGAACAAAGAGTGTAACAAGGATCCTCCGATTATGGCATTTGGCGGAGTGCGGTTACTATCTCTTGGAGGATCAGGGGGCTTAGCAACTAAGGTGACAAGCACCGTCATTGAAGTCAAGAGCACTGATGTCCCATGATCTTTAGGTATGCTGTGGGTAAGTTGTAGAAGCCTTGCAAGGCCTCCATTTTTCATGCTGCATGAGTGGTCTTCGAAGCCGTAGAAGGATCCTTGTCCCCAGTGAAGCCCTAACACTGTACAGTTCCACGACCCTCAAACAGAAACCCTAAGCCCTAAACCCTAACCCCCAAACCCTATACCCTAAACCCTAAACCTTAAACCTTCTACCTTAAACCCTTAACCTTAAACCCTAAACCCTACAACCTAAACCCTAAACCTTCAACCCTAAACCCTAAACTCTAAACCCTAAACCTTAAGAGGAACGCAAAAAACACCCGAAGACCAGAGCCTCGTGAGGTTGCCACACCAGGATCCCAGTCGAGCAGTGGTCCCAGACTTAGATTGGGAGGGTTTAGGGTTTAGGGTTTAGGCTTTAGGGTTTAGGGTTTAAGGTTTAGGTTTTTTTTTAAGTTGAAATGCACCCACTCGCTCCAAATCGGCACTGGCCCTGTCGGCCTTCAACGGTGAAACAAATTCATGCTTCCTTGACATCAGGAGATACACCCCTGGGACTACGAGAACGATCCCTACTCACAGGCAGTGACTCAGCAGCTTCAACCCTTGCATCAAGAGTAGGACACTCACAAACTTGTTCACTCACATCAGCACTCTCAGACAGTGTCCCATCCATAGATCCCGTCACAGCCGAAGACAACCCACCATCCCAGACCACAGCATTCACGTCGACCACAGGGAGGCAGACACCCGAAGCGTCATCCACATCCTCTGCACATCCATTCCCCCAGCTTACGGCACCATCACACTGAAGATGTCCAGAAGGATCACGAGGAGGTACGCCCACAGGTGGAGGTAGGACAGCACCAGAACCTTGAGGTACTGCACGAAGATCATCCGGAGCACGATCATGCAGTGTAGGACCAACAGCCGATGCTGTAGAAGGAAGCACACCCATGGACTCACCAGCACCCACCAGTACATGTTGTGGCTGCTCCAAATGCACCCCCATAACCGGAAGCCACTCAGGAGACAGCCATGCTTCCTCCACCGTAGTATCCACAACCATCTGGCAGTTCTCCGCCATGGTGTTCAGGACATCTCGCAGACTGGCGGCCATTCGTTCACGAACATGTTGTGGCGGAACACGCCCAGTAGCACCAACACGTTCATGAAGCAGACGTCCAATCGTCTGCAGTCCAGCCACCAACCGATGCACAACATGGGAAGCCACCCTCAAAGTCCACGCCACATCCCTACAATCAGCTCCTTCATCACGTCGCAACAGCTCGAAGAACTCATTCAACTCTACCCTGCACCGCCTGGAAACCCACATGTCCAATAGCTCGTCACCCTCGTTGACATTGAGTGGGTGTATTTGCATGAACGACCCATCATCGTGCTCAGCATTTGCGGACGACCCGTGGGGCCTGCACCATCTCTGGTATTGCTCCTCATCAAGAAACTCTGCCAGCTTCTCAACGACGGATGGTACCTCAGACCAAATCAAGGTGTCTTCAAACCTGCCTTGTGATTGCGCCGCCCAAATCAGTTTGGGGTCAAATGTTTCGTCGAAGTTGCAACCTTCCATGAGTCTCATTTTGAGAACATCTTTAGAAAGTTCATTTACTTCTGCCCCAAGAGTCTCCTGAATCATGTGTCCTGAGGGTGCGGCGGCTTGAAGGGAAGACTCGTTCAAGGTCCGTTCACTGTTAGGATGCAAAAGCACGGCTCTTTCGACCATGGAAACTTGGGTCTTTCGCTCAAGCTTCGTCAGCTTTTGCAATATCTCAGTCAACCCTTCTGATGTTGATTGTGAGACTCGGTCGAGCCCAGACATGTGTTGCTCCATCATGCCAAGGGAAGGAAATACCCGAGATGTGGTGTAACTAGCCAACAAGCCTGAAGCTCTGAGAACAGAGGTGAAGTCCTGCTCGACTGCAGCTGCAAACTGAGCCAAAACGAACAAAACGTTCTCTGCCATCTTGGCAACCTGGCCCAACCAAAAGACTTTGCAAACTGAATACCAGAAATAGCAGCAAATGCATTGTGCTATTTGGTCGCCCGGCGCCATGAAAAAGGCTCGAACCAGATGGTCGTACCATCCGTCAGGAGTGCACAGTCTCGAGCCATCAAGGCATGCGAGAGCACCATGAACATCGCGAAGCGGGCCATACGGGGTGTCAAGCGTTGAAAAGGACACACCCAGTATGAAACGAAAGCAGGTCACACTTAGGACGAGCACCAGCGAGCCGTTCATTGTCCGGCTGCGGATTCGTCCTCGTGGTGACCTTGAGCCCGTAGCCATTTTGGAGGTTTAGGGTTTAGGGTTTAGGGTTTGGGTTTCACTGCTTTTTGGGGTTAAGGCCTTCAGGTTCTTTGAGGTGTAAAGTTCAAGCTGTTTACAGCTTACGATCGCGGGGTTTGGGTTGTGCAGGTCGTAGGTGGACTTTAGGGTTCAGGGTGTACGACACTTTACGCTAAACCCTAAACCCTAAACCCTAAACCCTAAACCCTGAACCCTAAACCCTACAAGGCCGGCATCTTGTGGTCTGCTTTGAGGCTCCGATTGGTCGTCTCAGCTTGCGACGGCTAGCGAAAGCATGCTGTCTTCGCAAAGGTGAGCCGGAAGGCAGATGAATCAAAATCGTTGCGGAATTAGCTTTATATATATATAATATATGTATATATATAGTAGTATATATATATATATAGTTTGTCGGTGCGATCTTGTTTTTTATCCGTTGGCTGCTGCAAAACTCCTACTCCAGCCATGGCATGGTGCAGAGTTTGCATGGTAGTCCTACGTAGGAGTAGATACATTTCAAGTGTGGCGGCGTCCTGAAGATTCGCATCATGTTCGCCTGTCAAGGCTCCCTCTACATCTGGGTCGCGACTGTGTCTGCGCATGGAAAAAACCTTTTGGTCATGGTGTCCTTAAACCCTAAACCCTAAACCCTAAACCCTAACAAGGCGTTGATGCATTGCGGCGAGGGTATTTGTGCACCGCTGTAAGTAGACGGGGGAGCGATGGCGAATCCTTATAGCGCCTTGCTGAAACTCTACAGCGTTTGTCTAGAACACCCTGACACAATAACCCCTGAAAAGCTCCCTTACCCGACGTACAGCCAACAAAAACCTATATTCGGACGCCTGCAACAAGCCGATACAACCCTTAAACAACCGTCCTTCAAATTACTCCCAAGAACAGAATGCAAGAGTGATAACGAAAATTGCAATCATAATGACAAATGATGAACCCTAAAAACCGGGACCCTACTTCAGAGAACTGCCCCTATAGTACCCTTATAGAAACCCTACACAAGCCCTTGTGGCTCCTAAACCCTAAACCCTAAACCCTTTAAGGGAACTACCCCATATAGTACCTCATAAAAATCCTATAGCAGCCCTTATAGATCCTAAACCCTAAACCCTAAACCCTAAACCCTAAACCCTACAGAAGCCCTTATAGATCCCCTTAAAAGGAACCCGAAAAAACCGGCTCGTGGAGCCTCCGAGAGACGAGCGGCGAGCCCTCCGTGTCGGGCAAAGGGCGCGTCGGAGAAGTACTGGCAGTAGGTGGCCTCACCTGGTTTTGGGTTTAGGGTTTAGGGTTTAGGGTTTAGGGCTTAGGGTTTAGGGTTTAGGGTTGAGGGTTGAGGGTTTAGGGTTTAGGGTTGAGGGTCGTTTATGAAACGGTTTAGGGTTTAGGAACGGTTTGGGTTTTAGGTTTTAGGGTTGTTTATGAAACGGTTTGGGGTTTAGGAACGGTTTGGGCTTCAGGGTTGAGGGTTGGAATCGGGTTTGGGGTAGATTGTATCACAAGGCCTCACCTCCGTTTTTCTTAATTAAAATAGGGCTTAGGGATTAGGGTTTAAGATTTAGGGTTTTTCTTATAGACCCTGAACTTAACCCTAAAACCTAAACCCGCAAACCCTAAACCTTTCGGGGTAGACTATATCGGGGTTTTGGGCGAGGGGTTTTGGGCGAGCTTTGGCGGTTTTGGAGAGGCCTCACCTCGTGCGCTTTCAAAGAGAATTGAGTACTTGGGCATGTTTGGGGTTGGGGGCACTTGTTAGGGTTTAGGGTGTAGGGTTTAGTACACTGCTTCAGAAAATACTCTCTACATCTCTGTGCGCCGGAGCTTCGCGTGGTGCTAAACGTTCAGAGCCCCGCGGTGGGTGCTTAGGGCACTTCACCAAGCAAAACACCCTAGAGCCCAAAATCCCTGGACCCAAAGGGGTCTAGGGTTTGGGGTTTAAGGGTTTAGGAACATCCTTGTACCCATAGGCGCCATAATAGTTCCCTTTTTGGGATTACCTTATAGGATTCTAAATATGAACCCCAAGAAAGGAACTACTATGGGGCCTATGGGCAAGCCCTTTCTTCGCAGCTCTGTCACTGAGCTCTCCCTTGATGGGATCATGAAGCCTCTCGCGGAAGTGCCGCAATCCTTGCATCACCGAGCTGCCAGGTTGTGCTCAGGTTCCTAAACCCTAAGCCCTAAACCCTAAACCCGAAACTCGAAACCCTGAACCCTGAACCCTAAACTCTAAACCCTAAACTCTAAACCCTAAACCCTAAACTCTAAACCCTAAACCCTAAACCCTAAACCCTAAACACTATCGCTTGGAGTCTTGGGGCTTTATCTGCGGTAGAAAATCCGAACAACACTACGGTTAACGTCGTCGGAGGCCCAGTGACTATTGTGCTGGCAGTTCAACACCCGAGCTTCTTGAGAAGCTGATTGAAAGCCGAAAATCGCGACAGAAACGAACAAGCAAACACTAACAAGAAGAACAAGAGCAACGAGTAGCCAAGATGCTATAGGGCCCTGATACCAATCTCCCTAAGGCCTCAAAACCGTTCTGAGAACCCCCACTGCAAGCAGCAATAGGGGAGCTCGGAAGATGTTAATACGGAAGCCTGCATATCTAACGAGTACCATTACCAATACTATTCCGTAGCGCAAAGCCCTTTCTCATGAATAAGTCCATTATGTAACCCGCTTTGGGGCAGCCAAAGCTCGTTTGCTGGTGAACCAGGTGTACCTCTCGTCGCCTTGGGCAGGCTTCACTAGCAGCTTCCAGGGAAGCCCCTTGTGAGGTCCAGATGACAGTGCATAGGAACTGTAACAAGGGTTCTGTTGGGGGGGAACCCTAACAGCTTCGCAAAGGGCTCGAATGTAGGGACCTTAATAATTAGAATAGGGTTTTGGTGTATACTATACTATAGTTAGATAAGGAACCCGCCAAATAGTATAGGTAACTACTAAGGCCCCTATACTAGGGCACAAGGATTTCTTGTTCATGCGCTCTTGTGTCTCGTGCTTCAAGGAGATTTGCTTGGGAAACACCCTCGGCCTCACGAAATCTCAGGGT